ACGGATTTTCAAAAAGTTCATAATATATAAAAGGAAATTAATTTAGATATATATATATAAAAAAATTTGTTTTCACTCATTCAATTTTCAAAAAGTTAAGAATTAAAAATTTAGATTAACAAAAAGTATAAACCTAAAGAAAAGGAAATATCTAAGATATTTATAAAAAAAATGTTTAGATGCATTCATCTTTCAAAAAATTATGATAATTAAGAAAAAAAAAGTTTAAAAAATGTCAAAATATACCATTTTTAAAAATAATAATTTATTATAAATAGTATTATTCATAAAAAATCCACTTCAAAGAGTAGTTATTTTGTTTTTAGTATTGAATTTGNACCATTTTTAAAAATAATAATTTTTTATATATAGTATTATTCATAAAAAATCCACTTCAAAGAGTAGTTATTTTGCTTTTAGTATTGAATTTGACTTATTTAAATAGTTAAAAATAATTGTAATTTTACAGTTTTATAATGCTGAAACTCTAGTTAGATACGAAAAGCTTGTGTCAAGTTATTTCATTCTTAATAATTTAAATGATTTTATTAATTATATTTTGAAAGATAATAATACTTTTAATTATGCTTCATATACTAATGTATTTTTTTAGATTAATATGTTTCAATATTATTATAAATGTCAATAACTACATATTTTTCAATTAATAAAAATAAATGTTATGCTCAACTTATAATATTTTATTGTTAGACTGTAAAATGTCAAAAGTAATATACCCTTAATACTAGATCCGACTAAAAATTTGCATAAAGCATAATGTCATAATGAATTTGAATGAAAAGAGCATAATAATTAATCAAAGAATATTTGATTAATATGTTAATTTTAATGACAAAAAATTGTTTTGCTTTGGTTGTTGGAACATAAACGCCTCCTTCCATATATTCACCACAGATTCAAAGAATATGTCAAAGTTGTTTTAAGAAAGCTAAATTAAATTTAAGGGATTCTTGCTGAGCATCACAAAAAAAATAAAATAAAATACATAAAATGATGTCTAGATGACTTAATGGATTGATAAGACCAACAAATATATTTATAAAAATTCAAAATTTTATAAAATTTACTATTTTAAAGAAGTCAACTAATTATATTAATTAAGTTATTTTATGATTTTTGAATGAAACTATATATTTATAATAATTATTGGTTAAAAGAATTTGCTAATTATTGTGATAAATATTAATTTTAGTGCTAACACAGATTACAAGAGTAGCAGCTACTCTAAGGTTTCCTATACCAGAATTGGAAGCTTTTGAAGTAGATGAAGATAATTGTAATGACAATACTGTATTACAAACTTTTTGATCCTTATTTATTATCATACCTCAATTACAATCACTTTTTTTTTTCAAAAAGTCGCTAATTTAAAATTTCTTTTTCTAAAAATGTGTCCCTTGTTCTTAAATTATATATTCTTTATTCAAAATTTGAATGATAATTTTCATATAGTAATTGAAACTTAAAGTGGGCAGTAATTTAGTTCATACTACTTTTCTATCATGATGTAAAACTTGAATTATTATTTGTTATGTGATATTCTATTGTTATATTAGTTTTATTTATATGAATTATACACTTTTAATTCTTTCCAAACAGTATTTCTATTAAATATTAAATTGAAATCAACTTTTTTTGACAATACAATTCAAACTAGTATTTTGAGTGGAAATGCTTGTATAACTAATTCTACAATCTGTCTCCTTTCACTATTAACATTTATGTTATTTTGTAATTTGCATTATATCCCAATAATTAAAAAAATACTAAATCTGAGATTGTAATTTTAGTGAAATTATACTCAATTTATGACAATTTTTAGAATTACGTTGGTATTATTTTGTCATTTGACCTATTGTTTACCAAACAAATAACTCTTATGTACAATAAAGTTTTAAATACTGTTGGCTTTCTTAAAAGAAATTTTGGAGAATTCACTAAAACTACTTATCTTGAAACCTTATATGATAAATATAGTTAAATACAATCAATATTGTAATATGTGTCAATAATTTGGTCTCTTCATCAATGAATTTGATTAAAAAAATTAAATGTCTACAATTACAGTTTTTAAATATGCTAATTAACGAAGAGAGATGATATAGACCTGGTCATTATTGATTCTAGCATTAATTTGAAAAGCTTTACCAATTGCTTATGTATTATGGCTCTATAAACTAATAAATAATATGATAGATTATCCTGAGTTCCCATTAATGTCGCTGCTTTTTTTTTTAAATCTATACCAACATTTTATGTTCCTTTTCATTATAATTATAATTATTATAAGTTTTTAAAAATAACTTCATATTATATTACAAGCCTACCCTGTCTAAGTAAATAACGATTAATTGTTATCTGATTTGGATACCAATTTAATTTTAATATAATGATATTTAACACAAATTCAAACTATTTTGGAATTGGATCACAATAACTATTCAGTTTAATAGCATTGTTATCATAATAAAATTCATAACCATAATGTTTCACTTGTCAATTTTTCATACAACCTATAAAATTTATAAATTAATAAAGACTATATTTTTATTTAAAAATAATAATACTTGAATTTATCCATCGTTCATTTAAAAAATTAAGCGAAAAAATTTCTTGCTTATCTGTTATAAAATTATCAATTATTTCTAAACCGAGTGGTAAATCATAACTAATTTCTACATTTTTTGGCACTACAAAAAATATATATAATCAAATAAAATGAATTACAAAAAATTAATAATCCTAATTTACCTGATTCTGTATAAATTAAATACACAAGTTGCATTTTTTTTACCATTAATATTATTTAATGCTTTTTTTTGCATCATCAACATTCAAATAGCTAACAAAGCAATAAGATTTGAAAGGCAACATGATAACATTTTCTAATGTTCCAAACTGTGAAAATAATTTCACTAATTGACTTCTACCAAGTCCATCAACTAAGCCACGGTTATATATCATTATATTCTAAAAAAGAAAATGTATATGAATTGACAATATAATTTAGTGCTATATTATATTAAGTTTTTAATACTGTTTTAACTTTAACTGCATCCAACTAAAAAAAAGTGAAAAAATTAAATTGTAGTCAATATTCACATAAAATTTTCTATCTTACATCATTTAATAACCAAACAACTATATCATTATAAGTAATAATGATGATAAAACAAATCACTATGCAATCAAAACGTAATACCTTGATGGATTACTCTACAAAACATACAGGATTATCTCTTAACAAAATAAACTAAATAACACTGCAAATAAACGTTTTTTTGATGTTCCAAGGTTCAACAATTCCAAGTAATATATTACCTTAGTTGATTCATGCAGGCCCGTAGCCAGGAAATGTTAATTGGAGGGGCCAACAATTTTGGGCCCTTGTATAATTTTCCATAATTTGTTTCCCATGAAAAGCTTGTGGGGGGCTCCCTCCACTCCTCGTAAAACAGTATCCCATACTATGAATCTTACAAGTTCAAAATTTTACAATTGGTTGGTTAAAAACAAATTGTTTTCGTATAAAATATACTAATTATTACAGTATTATAAAAAATGGATAGTACCTATAATTAAAAACAAAAAAAAATACTTTCATCTTCTCCATTGGGATGAATTTTTCATATTGTGAAAAATAAATAAAATAATGATGTGAACATAGGCTGATTTAATTTTCCAACTTTTAAGCTATTAACAAAAAATAATTTATACCTAAATACTAATAATAAATAAGTTACAAATAATTTTTAAAATAAATATAAATTATAAACAATGTAAAATTTATTTTCTTTAAAATTAAAAACAATTCCTGCCTTTTTTTAGTCATATTTTTATTACTATTATTTAGAGCACGCAAATAACAAATTAACAAAAACAAATTAATTACCTGTTGTAACTACTAAATTATAAAAAAAAAACAGAATAAAGATTAGTTTTATTAAACAATTTTTCATAGAGTATTACTTTATCGAATTTTGTAATCAACTAGATTCTAATCAATGCAGATAACTTGGTAGTTTGTTATCATTTGTTGGACCATAGTCAAAAAAAATTTACCTACAACCATATTTGAAGTAACTGCTATTCCTTTTATTATTACGTCTAGAACGTTATCTATAAACATAAAAATGAAAATACAGCCATAATAATAACTGTATTACCCAATAGTAATCACAAATTAATAATAATTTCAATGTATATAAGGCCTTTTTTAAGGCCTTAATATATAAGGTCTTCTTCCTGGCTCTTATTTATTGCCCACCTATTCACTTTAACCATCACTTTCTTTCTTACTCAAAACTGCAATTACAATCTCTCCCTATTAATTTTGTTAATAATCTATTCAATGAGTTCTTATTCTCTAATTTCTCCAATTATTGTCTTATATTTACTGATGGTTAGTAAGCTCTAATTCCGCTGGTTTCTCGTTCTTTATTCCTAGTCTTAATATTAAATTCTCAGATATTCTCCCTTCACAATCTTGTTCTTTTACTACTGAGTGTTATGCCATTTCTTCGGCCCTTGAGCTTATTCAATCCTTCAATATTTCTAATGTTTTAATAATTACTGAATCTTTATCAGTCTTTTCTTCTCTCACTTCTAATTCATTCAAAAAATCCAGATCTTTTCTTATTATTAAAATAAAATCGTTGATTTATAATCTTTTCTTAGCTAATACAAAAATCGAATTTTTATGGTGTCCTAGTCATGTGGGTATTTTTGGTAATGAGGAAGCTGACCATTAAGCCAAACTTACCAAATTCATTACCCGTCGTCCAACCCTCAATATTCCATCATGCGACTTCGTTTCATCCCTTAATAAGACGATATTTCTAGCATGGCAAGTATATTGGTCTTCTCCTTTCTCTCTCATCGCAGCTTGGCACAAATCAATTTCACCAACTATTCCAAATCATCCTTGGTTCCATAAACTTCCTCTCTCCCGGTTCCATATATTATCCTTTTCTCGACTAAGACTTGGTCATAATCGCCTTCCTTTTCATGCGTACAAAATGTCCCTTAACAATTCTCCTTTCTGCCCCAAACATGACGATGAAGTTCTCTGCGATTTTCCTCATATAATNCTTTCTACCCCAAACATGACGATGAAGTTCTCTGCGATTTTCCTCATATAATTTTTGACTGCTGTGCATTTTAAAGTAATCGTTCTATATTATTTAATAATTTATCTCATCTTAATATCTCTCCTATTAATTGTTACACTATTCTTAATTCAACTTCTCTTGATGTAATATCTTTAGTTATTTCTTTTATTCATTCAGCTGGTTTTTTTATTTAATGATGTTTACTGTAATTTTGTAGATGTAAGATCAATAATTGATCAAAATAGTACAATTATTGTACTATTTTTTTATTATTATTATTATTTGTTTTTTCTTTTCTCGTTTTATTTAATTGTTAAGCTATAATAATACTTTGTATTGAAAGCTAATAAAAAAAAAGTATTTTCTGACTTTAAATATAATTTGATTAAATATGGTAAATTCTTTAAACAGAAAATAATAAATTAGAAGTGTTAACAAGAATGGAAACAAAATAATAAGAACATTGTTTATGATAACAAGTAAATAATTCATACAACCATACATTTAAATAAACTATTATATTATGTAACAGATAATATGATATGATACACTCAGATTTAAGTCAGAAATTTAAGGAGAAGGTACTGGTACAAGTATCTCGCACAGCAAAATTCCTAAATTCGTCACTGACAGTGACATTTTGGAGAATGAATAAGCCAAATTCAATACTAAAAACAAAATAACTACTCTTTGAAGTGGATTTTTTATGAATAATACTATTTATAATAAATTATTATTTTTAAAAATGGTATATTTTGACATTTTTTAAACTTTTTTTTTCTTAATTATCATAATTTTTTGAAAGATGAATGCATCTAAACATTTTTTTTATAAATATCTTAGATATTTCCTTTTCTTTAGGTTTATACTTTTTGTTAATCTAAATTTTTAATTCTTAACTTTTTGAAAATTGAATGAGTGAAAACAAATTTTTTTATATATATATATCTAAATTAATTTCCTTTTATATATTATGAACTTTTTGAAAATCCGTTAATATACCTTCCTACAATGGGTTATTGAAAATAGCAATTTTTGCACAAAATGTTGACTTTTTCAACTGAAGTTTTGAAAATGTTCAGAAAATACTTTGAACATCAAAGAAATGTTAAATTAAAGCTTCTGTTTAAAGGAAAACTTTGCTGTAAGGATATTGGGCAGGTATATATAGTGGTAGTATACCAGTCTGATCATTATGGGCATAATTTAGGCCAAATTTTAGGGGTTACAATATGCCAAAAAGTACTGTAGCAACACCAGTTATTCAGGAATTGCATTCATGACTTATTGTGACCCCATAAATTATACTTCTACCCAGTATTTGGTTACTTAGTTAAATTTTTTAAGTCTAGCATATCTTATATGTTTGCCACACAATAACTTTAATAAATTGTAAATTTTTAATTTATCTAAACATATAAGTAAAACTTCTCTTTCTTCAGAAATGTACAATCTTTTCACTTATATACCTATTTAAAATAACATATACACATTTTAAGATAAAACATTAAAGTTATTAAAAATAACTTCATATAATATTACAAGCCTACCCTGTCCAGGTAAATAACTATTATATTATGTAACAGATATTATAATATGATGCGCTCAGATTTAAGCCAGAAATTTAAGGAGAAGGTACTGGTACAAATATCTCGCGCATCATAATTCTTAAATTCGTCACTGACGGTAACATTTTGGAGAATAAATAAGTCAAATTCAATACTAAAAGCAAAATAACTACTCTTTGAAGTGGATTTTTTACGAATAATACTATTTATCATTAATTACCAAACCCAACTGCATTTAAAAAATTGTATTTCACAATTTTAAGTTCAATTTTCTCGGAATCAATTTTTTGTCACATTGATCTGTTCAACTCTAAATGTCTCTTATACATTATACGTCTATGAATACATAAAAAAAATTCATACTAATATGTTATTTAATCTCATTTCTGTATTAATGTCGATTAATCAAACTAACAGTTATTAATTTTATTGAGAAAAAACTCAGACAAAGTGAAGAATAAAAATTTGGAAAAATTACAACTGTAGAAAATTGTAGTTGTAACATTTTACTACTAATACTAAAACAGTGTCATCAAAAATTATTTGCTAAAACATATTTGTTTTTATTAAATATATTTTAGCAAAATGTTATCTTATCGCTATTTATTTAAATAATTACAAATTTCAAATAAGAACAAAAATATATTAAAATATTAAATTGAATTACATAATTGAAAAAGAACAATTAAAAATATTTATAGCACAAAAAATCTTTAAATAAAAAAAATATATGCATCAATGTGTAATCATTAAACATCCAATGACAATAAAAATAAATAGAATAAAGTAATGTACAAAATGAATGATAGAAACGAAACTATTCATTAAATTGAAAATTCTTGAACGAAAGTTCACAAAAATTATTACCAACTTGAAATCAATTGAATCTAGATCTTTTTGATCGTTTTTTTTTAGAAACTTTCTTTGTAGAGCTATTCGTAGATAACTTTTTATTTTTTGTAGGATTATCAGTTGATGTATCAAAATTATTTATGCCATCAACATTGTTAGATAGTTCGATGTTATTTACTCATTTTTCTAGTTCGATTGTATTAATTGTTTTATTAAACACATAAGAGTCTATAATTTCTTGTGGAATTCTTTTGAGCAACACAAACGGATCTATAAATACCAAAATTATAAATTAATTTTTTGATAATAATTTTATACAAAATAAATCATTTTTATATTAAAAAGTAGTTATATTATTATAAAATGACGAAATCTTTTTTATAAACACTATTGGAACTTTAAAAAAGAATATATAAAAATAAATATTACTATGATAATTTTATAAGAATTCGTATGTTATTTTAAAAACAAAAATGAAAAATATTTTTAAAGTAACGTGGTTTTACTATCCGCTTAATAGACTCAGTGTAGAAGGGTTACCGAGGAACTCCTTTAGGGTTTTTGCCATAGACGCAACTAGGGAACAAGAAGATGCTAAGCCCCTCAATTAACAAAATTACCACCAACATTTTTTTAATTTATGTATGTTTTGATATGTCTTATAACTTATAATACAGCAATAATTTTGTTGAAATTTTATTTTCTTCAAAATTTTGAAATAGCCATTATTCAGCCTTATCTCACAAAAATATTTTGTGGGTCGATGATATTTTTAAAACAAGTACATATTAAGTTATTATTTCAACGAAATTATTATTCGATCAAAAATAATAAAATATGTCTAACCTAGTTGGACATTCTGTATAATTGATATTGTATAATTAGCACCCTCCAAAATGTTAGTTAAATGTTAGATTATTTTATGGTTTAAGTGTTATATGTAAAATTAAGTGACTAAATTTAATTATTAATAACTAAAGCTCTATAAAATATACTTCATTAATTTATTACTTGAAACATTAACATAAAATATAACTATAAAATACACTAATACAAAATTTAATAAAATATATTATTTCTATATTTATAATAATAGTATAAAATGAATGATTGATTAGCTGTTACTATCAAACTATTATATACATTCTAACAGTGGAATTTGATTTTTTTTATAAGAAAAAAAAGGCGTCA